AATTTTGTCCTAGATAATTTTTTTCTTGATATCATATCTGTCTGTGGGGATCTTGCATAAATATCTGTCGCATATAATTCAATATCCAGCGTGGCATTAGCCGGGGAAGTAGTTGTTTTCCGGAAGGCATTCACCAGAACCTACGGTGTAGGTAGTTGGTAGAGATGAATGTTTCGAGATTTTATTTCTTATACGCATGTATCTATCTCTCCTCGATATAGTTTTCATGATTTTGATATCTCTCAAGAGTATTGGTACATGGGATGTTTTTCTACCTTTGGGGCTTTTTTAACGAGATGGAGCTGTTACTATTTAGATGAAGGTTTCATACATGCAGTCGAGTGGCGTTGAAATTACATTGTTGTTTGGGTAGGATCTTTCCTGTACTGATGAGAGATAATACCTCGAAACCGGTCTGAAGGTGATCTATATATTTCTTTGCTGAAGGGAAACATGACCAGCCTACGGACAGGAAAATGTGGTCCCACCATTTTTTTGTGGATTGTGGTAGGAGCTGTGAGTATAATTCAAATTTCAAACCATTATCGAAATTTCTTGTAACTAAAATCTCCAGGAACGATAGTAGTTCGTTATTTTCAATTCAAAATGTTAACTTGGTTAGAATGTTCGTCAAGATATAATGTTTTTGTTCTGGTGTTTTCAACAGAAAAACATACTTTATCTAAGAAAATGTTTTTTCGAAAAGATAGGTAGATCATATATACTCATATTTGACTACTTTATGATATTGCATGTGTAAAATGCAGAACGTAAGTACAATAAACAATTAATACCAAAAATATAACACATTAAATTATTATTATTATTATACATTGTTAGAAAGGTTTGATCAGAACTGTAGGTTTGTAATATACAAGTTATATAAATGTTATATTTTCAATGGATAAAGTAGGTATATTTCCCTTGAATGCGTTTTTTACATGTGAAATCGCACGTTGATATCGTATTTTAAATCTTTGGCCATTCTGTTCCACAAATACGTTTTTAGTAAATATTTGAATGAAATAACGATCCGACATGTCACAGAACAAGAATAATTATTTTTTTTATCTCTGAATGTGACAAATACTGACAACTGCAGTAAATCAATAAAATATTTGCTTTTTCTTTTAGAGCTAATTTTACAACTTTCGTAAATATTTCAAGTTTAGCATTATATGAACACTCATTATGCAAGTGCACGTATTTAATATTTTTTATGGTTCCACATTAAATGAACTGTTCATGTTACCCATATCTTTTATCTGTTTATGTAGTGACGACATTACTTACCACGGATGGTGAGCAATTGTATTAAATATTTTCGCAAACCATTTCACTAAGATTTTCTGGAGAAGAGGCATATTCATTATTCACTGTATATCGAAGTACTTTTTTACATATTTAATAATGCCTTTGTGTGTTGTGTTTTGCCTTATTTGAATAACGTATGTACTTTGAATACCGTTTCGTCCTACTTCTAGGATGAAATGTGTTTATATTTATTATTTATTTCCAGGATCGTGGAAAGGTAAACTTTTCTTATTGAGCTTCAAGCTCACTAGTGATGTATTCAACTTGTAGAGAATATATTGTGAAGAAAAAACTGCGATGTTGGATCTTGTTCAGAAATTTTAGCATGCCATATTATGCTTTCTATTGGAAACGATGGCTAATATTCTAACTGTATAGGGATTCCTAGTCGAATAAAACGTCAATGTAAGATTTTCATGTGACATTACAAAACCGCGTCATGCGGAAGCAATAGCTTCTTCGGACGTATTCAATACTCTCGTTGAACACGCCTGAAGAAGCTATTTAATATTGAAACACGCGCCCATAATTCTCGAAATTTTGCTAAGCAAATGCCTTGAGTATTCAATAATTTGATATATAAAATTCCAAGACCGTAGGCCGAGGGATTTTATATTAATTATAATGCACGAACGCATTTTTTTAAATAATGGGATTACACGCATTTCAATCGATGAAGCTTGGTGTACGATGGATATATACAGACGTTATTTGCTTAGTTTCAAAATCCAAATCTTAGGATTCAAGTGAAATATGAACACCGACTTTTGATAGTTCGTACTGGAACCTCTGGCGTAAAATGAATCTATTGAAACACTTTCCTAACTAGTCTGGGCTATAAGTTTAGATTCGTATTAAATGGACATACTATTAGTAAAATTAAGTGGTTAGGCTCATTGGATCCGGAGTATTGTCTAGATCATTGTGAAAAAAAGGTAANAGGCCGTGCGCGCAACCTAAAAATGGCGCGCGGACGGCTATTTTCAGCGTTAAATTAAAATTATAAATAATTTTTTTCAGTAAATTTCCTCCTCTTCATGGATCTTTTTGTAAAAATTCAAAAATATTTATATTTTACGAACTATAAACAAAACCGAACACTGCTTTCTAGGGTCTTTAATTTGTTTATAACTTTTAGAATTTTTTATGAACTAATTTGCTTTTGTTTCACAATGATCTAGATCTATTTACTTAAAGTACCTTAAAAAATATTGTCAAGTTATGTACTCGCTTACAGGCCGTGCGCGCAACCTAAAAATGGCGCGCGGACGGCTATTTTCAGCGTTAAATTAAAATTATAAATAATTTTTTTCAGTAAATTTCCTCCTCTTCATGGATCTTTTTGTAAAAATTCAAAAATATTTATATTTTACGAACTATAAACAAAACCGAACACTGCTTTCTAGGGTCTTTAATTTGTTTATAACTTTTAGAATTTTTTATGAACTAATTTGCTTTTGTTTCACAATGATCTAGATCTATTTACTTAAAGTACCTTAAAAAATATTGTCAAGTTATGTACTCGCTTACAGGCCGTGCGCGCAACCTAAAAATGGCGCGCGGACGGCTATTTTCAGCGTTAAATTAAAATTATAAATAATTTTTTTCAGTAAATTTCCTCCTCTTCATGGATCTTTTTGTAAAAATTCAAAAATATTTATATTTTACGAACTATAAACAAAACCGAACACTGCTTTCTAGGGTCTTTAATTTGTTTATAACTTTTAGAATTTTTTATGAACTAATTTGCTTTTGTTTCACAATGATCTAGACAATATTCCGGATCGAAAGAGACTAACCACTTAATTTTACTAATAGTATGTCCATTTAACACGAATCTAAACTTATAGCCCAGAGTAGACACCACAGAACAAAAATTAAGCTCTCTCAAAGCGTGTTTCGCTAACCATTTAGCGTCCTCAGGAGATCATAATGACTTTTGTATATTTTATTTGGCAAAACAGGTCAAGTGATTTTTTCGCTGTAAAACTTTGTAAACGCTACCTGGCCTTCAACTTTTTCAACTGTTTTATGCAATCAAGGACAATCAAAAAGCTTTGCAATATAGTTTGAATGTGATATTATTGAAACTTTGGAATTGGTTCTTGGCTGATGGAACTGCAAATAGCCATGGTGCTCCGTGCTCCCTGGGTGGCTCAGAGATTTGTCAACGTAACCTAACCAGAACATGAGGCTAATGCTCATGGCTATTGAGGCCGTCGAAACCGAATAGAAGAACTCCCTGCCGCTAACCTGACTTGATCACTGGTCGCCGGACTGTCCTACGTCATTCTTTGAGGCTAATATACTTGTAGCACTTACCATAGTTATAGAAAACAGATAGTATACTGTCTGTACAGGATGGAACATCAAAAACTTACTGAAAGTCATAAGTAATAGGAAATGAACGATTCTCGAAAGTCCAAAAACTTGTCAAGTTTGTTTGTAGCAGAGTTTTCATCCAAAAACATTCATTGTTAAAACGTCCACCCTATCAGCGGGGGTGTTTACCGTAACTCTTTCAAATGGAAATAGAGGATCCAGTCCGTTATTGAAAAGAGTTTTTGATTTCATATCCATTGCTGGGGCACATGATTCTTGGACCCAATGAGCACTTACCCCACGATAAGTGCTCTGTCGACATCTGTCGAAGAAGTTGAGAAATAAATAATCAAAAAGGAATAACTGCAAATATCTTAGAATGGCAGATTTTGGCCTCCGAAACGTTAAGATAAGTATTGTATATCCATAACAAGCACTTTTCCCAATCACTAGAAATGCAATACTCTTCTCGATGCGCGTTTCACCAAATAAGCTGGTATCTACAGGAGATGAAGAAACTTTTTCTTCATGAAGATCAGGAAAACTGATTCTTTTTCTTCATCTTGACTGGTTCCAGTTTCACCTTTTATTAAGGAATTTCAAAAAAAGAAAATGGAAAATTTAGGAATTTTGAATTTTGAACTATGTATATCTCAGTTTTTGTTCAAGATCTTGATTATCTCTGAAACATGTTTATATAAATTTTTCTAGAAGTTCCATATCAAATATTGAATCTGCAATGGTTGTGGTCTCCAAAAGACTTTTCAATAAGATTTTTTTGTTGACAATATATTTCAGTGTACATATTTTGGTTTTTGTATAATGTGGATGTTATACATTTATTCGTGAGATGAAAAGAAATTTTTCGTAATAAGATATAAACCGTAGTGTTCTAGAAGTATGAATTAAAACCGTTTTCTAGTAAAAGTGTATAATTTTTGAACCTCCTACCAATGTATATTGAATACCTTCATAATATCTTGTCTTCAAATATGGTTCAGAAAATCTACCTCTCTTCTTTAGGATCTGTAAGTACTAGAACTTATTTTGATGGTGATTATTTGTAATGCTCTGAGGATTCTCTAGTATGGTTAGTGTTCATATGAAAAAAAAAATTAAAACCTTCACGCCTAACAACTCAAGATCCCTGTTGTTTCTATTCAGTTAAATGAGACTTATCTTTAATATTTTTCGACGGACTAATGATTTTTCCTTATAGTTGTAATTCCTTAAATTTGGGTTTAGATAGAATTTCATTTTGTTATACGGAACCATTTTGTAATCTAAGATTTTCTTTGAGTCTGTCCACTTGATAAATAATTACGTTTAAAAAAATGCTACAACTGATTATCTGATTGTTTCAGTGGCATTTTTCATGCCTTAGTTGCTTCCGATCCTTCCGAGGAGCCAAAACATATCCACACATACGATAACAGTGGCAGCTTCGGAGAACTGGCTCTCCTCTACAATATGCCTCGTGCAGCCACAATTAAGGCTTTCACCGATGGTTCTTTATGGGCCATGGATAGGCAGACTTTCAGAAGAATTCTCTTGAAATCTGCTTTCAAAAAGAGAAAGATGTACGAATCTTTAATAGAAAGTGTTCCCATGCTCAAAACACTCCAGCCATATGAACGGATGAATTTAGCAGACGCACTTCTTCCCAGGTAAACCTAAAATGATACTTATTTTATCTATTAATCATAGTCATAAATAATTTGGTTCATTCTGCCCATAGATTGTTTTAATTATTGATATTATACAATAATTTGTGTTTTTTTTAATGAAGTTGATTTATTGTCAATTATATTTATGAAATCAGACAAAATTTGTATTAGGTTGATATACAGTACGATGCAAATGTATGGAATAAATTCGATATTCACAAAAGGAGCGTTTTTTGGATGAAATTCAAAAACAGGTCAACTTTAATTTTTGACGGCCCATCTCATGATATTCATATGAAAGACGTTTCGTCACCAGTGTTGGCGTGATGACGTAATCGACAATTTTTTTAAATGCAAACAGGGGTCATGTGGCACCCNAGTACGATGCAAATGTATGGAATAAATTCGATATTTACAAAATGAGCGTCTTTCGGAAGAAATCCAAAAACAGGTCAACTTTAATTTTTGACGGCCCATCTCATGATATTCATATGAAAGACGTTTCGTCACCGGTGTTGGCGTGACGAAACGTCTTTCATATGAATATCATGAGATGGGCCGTCAAAAATTAAAGTTGACCTGTTTTTGGATTTCTTCCGAAAGACGCTCATTTTGTAAATATCGAATTTATTCCATACATTTGCATCGTACTGTATGTGTTATATTTCATTTATATCTAGATATCTCTACTCTCCATATCTAGAATGCAGTTATAACGTAATAGGGAAAAGAACTGAAAAATATTGAATTCTATTTTTATTTGAATAAATTATATCTTTATCTCTTTTCAATAGGACTTTCCAAAATGGCGAAAGGATTATCAAACAAGGTGATGCAGCTGAAGGCATGTATTTCGTCGAACAGGGAGAAGTCATCATTAGCGTTCTAGATGATAGTGGTAAGGAAGTCGAAATAAATCGTATCACTAAAGGTGGTTATTTTGGAGAATTGGCCCTTGTTACACACCGTCCAAGGGCTGCTTCCGCTTTTTGTGATGGGGAAGTAAAGTGTGCATGTAAGTATTTTGTGTGTTTAAATCTTTAATATAAATATTTTGAGGAATATTGTGGAATATTTACAAACACGAGTGTAGCATATAAGAAGAGCTTACAGTAATTGTAATTTTTCGTGTTGTTATTGGTGGAGAAGAGAGAACATAAGAAGGTGATTTGGAAAATGCTTCAAAATTTTAGACTTAATTTTCATGAATTATTACAAATAACAATATAGATGGTAGTGAGTATGACACAAATAAATAACTATAATGCCAAATCACATTCTCAACGTTTCCCATAATATTAACAGAAGAAGGCGGGAAGTGTTAGATGTGATGAACTCAAATACAGTTCCTGAGCACGTGAAGCATTTTTTCCGTGAATGTCACAGTAAGTAAAATTGAATTGACATAAATAAAAGTGTCGCCAATCCAATTTTCCTGAAGAATAATTATGAGGATCTTCTAAAAATTAATAATAATAATAAAAGTGCTTCATTACCATCTACAGCACTTTTACGGTATTAAGAAGACACCGGTATTGCCCTACGCTCCGGGAGATATTGAATCCTTTTTGAGGAATGGGAGGTGCCACATTTATTGTAACTATTCATTTCTCACCCTTAGGCTCCTACAAGCAACCTAGCCTGATGTAGGTCTTCTCGACCATCAGGTCACAACGGTATGGAAGAGTTTTCACTTCCAGGTGAGACGAATTTCGCCCGAAAAGAGGAGGAAAACCGGATGATATATCGAGATTTTCTCTTCGAACTATGCAGACTCTATCCCGACCACTCTGTTGAGATGGTTGTTCTGATTATTGAAGTCCTTGGTGAAACCATGCCCTCTTTACTCAAAAATCTCAAGATCATGCCAGCTTGCTGCACGATGGCAGAAATTTTGGCCGGACAATTGTAGAATATTGTCATTCTTGGCTCATTGTATCTGCTTAGGGCACATGATCGGACCCAACAATCACTTAACCCTCAGTGTGGGGAGTGGTCATTGGTTTAATAACGCTGGCATGCTCTCCTGAATGTGTTGGAGTTTCGGGGACAGGGCCAGACCAGCTTACCCTTTGAGGAAATAATAATAATAATGATCGATTGCAATAATAAAAAATTAGCTCAAGAGAAAATGACCTACCAAAGCGCAGAGTTAACGCCGATTCGCAACCAATGAGGAGTGGGACAAGTGATTTCTTCCACTCAATCAAATGAACTATATCAATACAGTATGTGACAACTTAACCTATTACAGTTGAAGCAAACAAACAAATTCACATGTTATTGAAGACTACAGGGTACTTCAGTTATCCCTAAAATTTCGACTAATTACGGATTACAACTAACAAAAATTCACAATGATAACTCGTCTAATAGAACTTTTGTTTGAAGGTGCCTTTTTTTTTGAGCTGATCTTTTTATTTTAATTGATTCTTTCAGGGATTTTAAATCATTTTATATCTTAGACAATAGAGGTCTGAAATAATTAAATTCACTTAATAGAAGTCATCTTTTCAGTTTGAATTTGAAGGAAAAAATGGTCTGGTTTTTCAAACCATTTGGGATTTTGTTATAGAGCATAGTTATGTTATACGAGAAAGACAATCGAAACTGACTGCAGTGTTGACGTAAGTCTAGATTACAATCGTAAGTTCAGGCGATGACCGGGAGGTTATTTTTTTCATAACAATAAGATTGCTTTCGGTGTGTATCTATATTCCTATGGAACAGAGTGCATGTATGAATAATTTATCTATTGCAAATATTGAGCCAAGCAATTTTCTTCGGCGGAACGGATACATGTCGGCGTAGTTAAATTTGGAAATGACTAATGACTCACACAAGATGATTATACCTTTTTTATCTAATATTTTTCTATTTGAATAAATTAGTTTCAAGTTGGCAAAGGCTCATTGTATGATGACACTGATATGGCCTTTGAAATTGACAGAACAGTCTAATATGAAACCAAGATTTTTCCAGCTGTCCAAGAAACTGTGGTATCGATAACGTGCTTCTTGTCTGCCAAACAACATTGCAATTGATTCGATATCTGAATTTAGTTGTGAATTTGCTAAAAGGAGATCTTTTTCAAAAAGTGAAGTATAAATCTGGGTATCATTTGCGTATTGGTGGTAGCAACTAAACTTGATACGATTTTGGAACTCGTGTGTATAGATGATGAATAGTACAGATCCTAAAATAGAGCCTAGTGGGACTTCATACTTCGTGTGCAAAAGTTAGAGTAATAACCCTTCCATCAAAACAGCTTGCATGCGATTTTTCGAATAATCCTGAAGTAATCGGATAACCGCACATTTGTGGTTCCATATTATATTATCCCTCATAATTTTTTTTTGACATTCGATGACGAAACACTATACATTGTTTCAGTTTTGGACGTGGAAGCTTTCGAAAGGTTGTTGGGTCCATGCATGGAGATAATGAAGCGAAACATTAATGATTATGAAGAACAAATGCTCAAGATATTTGGCTCAAAGAATAACATGAAGGATATTCGATGAAGAGTATTGGACATGAACTTCCCCTGACAATAGCCCACTCCCTTCCTGTTTGTACTAATTCTCAAAAATAATATTACATGTTAGATAAGTGAAGGATGGTGTTTACATGGCAAACAAAATTCAAATAGATAACGGCACTTGTTAAGTCAGTCGATCAGAGGGGGAAATATCGATGTATCTACTAGTCATATGTATATATTTATATTTAAATATGTAACAAAACTTGATGGCAAAGTTCCGACGATTCAATGCTAGAAACAGGGTGATCTGCTGGCAGGAAATCCTGACGGAATGATTTGATTCCGATAACATCCGAGCATTGTCGATTTTGTTGTATCTTTGCGAAGATAGATATATTGTCATCAGTCAGTTTTGTTCATCGTGAGTGATTATACAGAGTTAATCAAGAAAGCACAATTGAAGTATTTAATACTTTAATGTTTTTGAATATGTCAGCTTTAATTTTTTTAATGATGAAGGTGGTATTTGAAATTATCTCATAAGTAGTATTTTCCAATTTGTATATTTGAAATTCGAAACAAAATGGCTTAGACTTTCGCGGCTGAGGTTTTCAGTGTCATTATTTTTCGAGTTTGAAAGCCGTGGATTTTTGGAATTTCTTCCTGATGTTTCGCTGGCGCGAGTGGCTAGCTTCTTCAGAGGTTTAACCATCATGGCTTGCTGTCCGATGACTAACTTTTAGGCTTCGTTAGGCTTCGTAAAGCGTATTTATGCTTTGTCAGGTAATCAGTTGTATTTGTACCTGTACTTGTTCCTGCACTTGTACCTGTACCTTAACCTGAAACATTAAGTCTTGCTGCCTGTTGTCATTCTGTTCGTTATTCTCGAATTCCTTAAAATGAGGTTCCATATTTGCTTGAGGTTCACCGCTTCTTCTTTTCTATTGAAATTCTCCGTGTGCTTGTGGATCTCTATTGCCTCCCGTACCAGTCGGTATAGTATCCTTGGTTGGCGGCAATTAGTTCTGTGTTTTCAAACGAGATTGTGTGGTCTCCTTCACTAAGTGCGTGTTCTGCCACAGCTGACTGTCCGCTTGGCCTAGTCTGCAGTTCTTTTTATGCTCTTTTAGTTTTGTTCCCATGGATCGTTTGGTGGTTCCGATATATACCTTCCCACAAGTGTCTATTGTCAGGTCGGCTAAAGACTCGAAACTCGAAAAATAATGACACTGAAATTCAAAAGTTCGTTGAAAGGATACTGATTTTATCGAATGAATAAAGTGTTTCATATTTATGAAGTGGCTTGGAGTTCTGTGCCATATTAAAATAATTTGGAGGTATTTGCCAAAACAGATTTGATTTAATGCAAGTGCCAACTTCCAGAAGGTGCCACAGTTATAAATATTGATTAGCTGGTTAAAAGGTTTGTTAAATTATTAAAAAGTTGACTATTTGGAGGAACAATAAAAACCGTTTTTTAGATCGCAACTCAGTGACACGATCCATTCATTGGTTTCAATCAACTGTTTCTTTCAATCCTGAAATTATTTTATTTTTATTTGTCAATTGCAGTAGCCACTATCATTACTATTTCAGCCATGTATCACAAAACATGTATTTCTTAACGTTTCTCATACGAAAAACCTCATTAAAGTCAGATCATACAGTTTCCCATCAGAAAAAAAATTCTTCCTATATGGAACTCGAAGAGAAACATTAACTCCAAATATCTCATGAAAATTTCCAGGTAGATGTGAATACCCATACATTTTTTCATGTTTTTGTAAAGTGATACAGATGCTGTTTAAAACCTAGTTATCATTACAAACTCGTCAACTTTTGTCTAATTTCACAAACTTCAAAAGTCTAACCATTTCCGAGATACAAATAGCGGGATTAGTTAAGAAAAGGTCTGTATAAGAAATAACTGCTTTTGTTGAAAACTAAACTGCAAAATACGATTACTAATTGAAATTTTATTTCTCTCAAACATTGTATATACAATGTTCATTGAGTATTATAATGTGAATGGATGAAAATTGTTTTCTCTGATGGAAAAAGAGCCATACTTCTGATTTATTATCAGAAAAATATGGCCCCTAAGAATTTTTTATTTAAACTCTGCTGCTTCAACGCCTTGTTTGTTGTTTGTTCTTTATGGAAAAAGATAAGTTACTGCATTATTGCCAAACAGTTTTTGTTGTTGTTAATTCGAATTATCAATTATCATGTTATCTGAAATACTACAATGATTTTTCTAATGTGTAAAATATTTACTCTAGCTCAGGAAAATATTTTACTCATTAAACGTGTAAGATGTTCATAATATATTTAAGGCTGAAATATTTATAATAAAACTCCAGAGATCAATATAATTGAAGGGTAAATGTAGAGTCATTATTGTATTTATTTTCAAAGTGAAAGTATATTGAAATGGAATCGTATTGTGGATAAATGAAAACAATGAAGTTGTCTGTAGTTCTGGGTAATGTTGAATTTTCATGTTATTATATGAATATTGTGTAACAAGTTCATCTGAAAAGATTTTCCTCCAATATTTTAGAGGCATAAAATAATATGCAAAATTGCTGAGACATGAAGATTTTTGAAAAGGTCACATTTCATAAGGGAAGTTGTCAGTTCCAGCCCACTACCATTTTCTAAATAGTATAATAGTATAAAGTGGTACCCCTTGATAGGACTTACACGTTAAAATGTGAGACCACATTTTCTTTTACAGCACAAGTCAACAGAAAAATCAATTTCAATTCATTATAAAAGGTAATAAGGCAATGGATGAGGTACTCTGGTATATTATCTCAATATCTATTGTGAGGACAGCCAGACCACTTTGTTCATTGCCTCAACGCCTCGTAGATGAAACGTTAGTCATGAAAAACCCGTAAAATAGTTTTGGCATAGACATCTATTCACACTTTGACTGACTGATAATTTTCAATGGACATTTAGTAGAAATCAAACGAAAAATCACTTCATACTGTCTGTTATCGGGATGGCTTTTGGAGAAGTGGGTTAAACTATATCACCTTTCATGTGTCATTACATGTCTGTCAAGATAAGAATCCAACTATTTCGACAAATTTTCATATCTTCTGCCTCCGAAATACCAGAAGTAGATTGTTTTCAAATGATCACATTGTAAACAACATATTTTAGAAAAATTATGATGTGAAATTATTCTTCAAAGAAGAGCCTTATATATTGAAAAAATGGTTATTTCATTTTCTTAATAACATAGAAATAATTTCAGAAATGTTTTACCCGGTATATTTGTTTTGTGAGTTGCAAACTAGATAGACAAACCATGGCAATTTGTCCTGGTTCGGTTTTGATTAATAGTTCGTATGATACGGGATTCATTTCATTTGTCTCTATCTTGTATGTGAAAGTAACTGAAAAAGTTACACATATCATGTAGTTCTGGTGAACGGTATTTAAAATAGTATTTGGACGTACATTTTTAAGATGACTTATTCGTTTTTTGTTGTTACTTTGTAGAATTTGTTAGACATATATCAATATTATTGTTCCTCAGAAAGTTTGCTTTCTTCAACAACTCAATTTGAAACTGGCATTGGAATAATTGAATGATTACAGTTTTAGAAAACTAGAATGACTTGAGAAAGTCTAGAAAAGATTTCTTTACTCTGTCAGAGTTAATTAAACAACTAATTATGTTATATTTATTAAAATCCCCAGAAATAATATATGTTTAAATACTAGGGATTATAAAACTACTTAAACAATAACTTAAAATATCTTAAAAAATATATACAATAAATGTGAACGGCTTTCGAGTTTTATAATTCTCAATCCCAAAACGATTAATATCTGAAACGAGGTTAGGCTGAAGGTTTAGATAGATAGTCGCGAGTATGTATGAAAAAAACAGGATGTGAACTGGTTGCTTCTGAAGAGGTGATATATTGTTGGACCTTCCATTCAGATCTCTGCTGGGATTCTTTAGAACATATGTAGTAGATTTAAGCGAAATCAAATAGGTCTGTTGATTGTGTTTGTGAAAATAGATGTTAACTGTTTGACTTCTGTATTGGTTCGTTAATTATCGACATTATAAGATACGCGCAATATTTTCTAGTAATTTGTTCAATTTAAGTTCTTGCTCCTTTTTTGTGAATTTTCATCTTCCACCAACACAATAATGATGTTGATAAATAATAACTCTTGTGAATACTTTGGCAAATCCAGACTCCAATCCTATTTCACTCCACTTGTGGAGACTACCACATCTCTACTGAAGATGCCCATCGCAGTTTTGTAAGAAACACCCAGAAACCTGTTCTTCAGAAGAAATCAGAGCATGACTCAAAGCCAGAATTCTTTCTCTTCCATACTAAGTCAAAGTGATCGAAATTCCAAATAACTCTTTCTCAACTCTTCATTTACGAAAATCCCATTTAAGAAACGTCAAAGCTACTTAATTCCTGTGATGTATATAAAAAAAACTTGAAGATCAGCTTGTATTTGATACAACTTATTTTATGTAAACCCAATAAAAAAGGAAGTATGTATCAGTAAAATAACACAGTTGAAACTATATAAGGGTGAAGACATGTGATGGAATTGGCCGATGCTTGTTGGAAATACATATTGATCAAGTAACATTTCATTGTGAGATTTTCATTGAACAGATTATAAAACCATAATACGTGTTTTACTATACAATATCTTCTTTCGCCACATTCTTACTGAGTGAAATCTCACAATAAAGTGTTACTTGAATAGGGAGAAGACATCCCTAAAGTACATTGAATTAACATTAAACATTTTTTTGATCCTGTATTCATTTATTGGCTTTATAAATAATCATTTGCATATTTCTTAACTCATAACCCTATACTTCATGCCCTTTCTAAGCATATGTCTTTTATACTTTTGCTAAGAATATCTTTTTCAATATACTGGGGAAATGTGTGAATAATGTTTCATACAAGGAACACTTTTCAACCTAAACATTCATTAAATATGAACATTCGATAAGCATTCCAAATAATCCAAATCAACTTTTTGTCATTTTTTGGCATTTTTACTTTGCAGAGACTGAAGCAAATGAAAATGTTTTCTACAATAAAATCTTCATTAGTATTTTCA